TGGCCGAGGAGATGCCGTCGTCGGGAGAGGCAAATCGAGCGCTAATTGGGGAGGAGCTGTCCGGCGACTTTAATAACATACAAAAAATAATAGAAAGAATCCATACTTTAAAGTAAAGCTATTTTTTATTATTTTACAAATAAAATCATCCATTTTTTTTTTAATTTAAAAAAAAAATTGACAAGTTTGTTAGGAATGTGATTATATGGAAGTTAAGATAAAATGGAATGTACCCAAAAAAATCTGTTTGTGATCTTTTTCTTTAAATGTTTGAATTTGAAAATCTAATAACCAAATTTAGATTATATCACGTAAGGAAAAAAAAATAATAAACATCTATTAAAGAGACAAATCAATAATATTTATCCCTTAGATAATAAATAATAAACATTTACACGTAAGAAAAAATAAACAGTAATATATTTAAAAATAAAACTTAAACTTTCAAATAAAGTAAATGAAGGGATAACTCATTTTTTTTAAAAAAAAAGTTTCTAAATGTTTAATATAGTGGTAAGTATCTCCGTAATAATAGTCATATCATCATTGACAAGTTTGTTAGAGAGATAATTACGGTTAGATAAATAATTAATTAGTTAAGATATTATATTAGTTATATAATAAAAAATCAGTTATATAATCTAGATAAAATATACAATATTAATTAGTTTGTTAGAAATGTGATTATATGAAAATCAATATAAAATTAAATTTAACCCAAAAATCTGCTTGTGATCTTTTTATTTAAATGTTCGAATTTATAAATCTAATAAACAAATTTAGATCATAAAATTAATTATATTTTATTTCTATTTTTTCCTTCTCCATTATATTTGTTTCCGCTGCTACTTTTCCCGTCGAAACCTTTCACTTTCGTGAAGGAAATATTGTTTAAAAGTTTTGAATCCACTTTTTATTAATCGAATATTCAGGTTGTATAGAGAACGATTTGTTTCGTAATATGTAAATCCTTTAATTTTAAAAATGATCTTGCAACTTAGTTTAATGAAAATTAGCTAAATTATTATAGATGTTTTTAGATATTTTTTAATAAATAGCATATAAAACTGCAGGTGTTTTTTTTTTAAAAAAAAAAGAATAGATAAATATAATTGTATTTAACAATTTTTGACATATATCTTAGTTTTTTATCCATGTTAAAGATGTTAAGAAATTTCAATACAACTCAAACATTCGTCCAATTGTTATTCCTACACCAACGGAATTCAACCCACGAATTTAGGATTGACATGATATATACAAATCGCTTCCAAATTTAAATCAAATTAAAGAGTCAGAAATGGAACTAACCTATGATTTTAGGAATCATGTGAGAAATTAATCTGCAAAACCAAATTTCATGGGCGGGATATACCAAATTTCATGTTACCCAAATATTTCAAATAAAATTTGAGGGGGAAATAAACATTTGAGCGGGATCTTTAAGCGGGAAAACTAAAGAATTATTTTCGAGTTTTTCAAATACTTTTTCTAGCCGTATTTTATAGTAATAGATTTGACTTGCTCGAGAACATGGATTATATTTATATAATTGGATATCTTGACACACATTGACCCTTTATTTAGATTTTTATGTGAAAGCGCCGAATTTTGTTTGAATTGATTGTTCATAATTTTGGTGCGTTTAAGCATGTTATTACTTGTCTTAAATCGAGGAAATAGTAATGTTGGCATTAGATATATTGATTTTCTGGCGTAGAGAATTACAAAATGGGCGACGTGGATATAATGTCGATAATGATCTCTTTTAATTCTTGTCGAGGAAACAACGAAATAACTCGGGTATTGACAAGCTATGGCGGAATTGTGGAGTTTTGAGGACAAAATGAACGAGTATAAATCCATCCAAGCAAGGTGATAATGAAGGATGAATCTGGATGGTGACGATCACTGGCGGCAATTTTAAAGGCATAAATCATCCTCTTTTCGAGAGAGAGGAGATGGACGACAGGTCGATAACTTCGAGCG